TAGTGTTTCGGACAATTGCAATCTCGTGAATAATTTAAACCTCCAGAATGGTCTGAGTCTTGGGTTTATTAATTATTAACCATTTATCTAACAAAATTGACGAGCTTAATTTGATACTTACTGCTGATTGTAAAAAACAAGTAGACTTATTTTTTTGTATGTGAAACCTTTCTCAATTCGTCTTACCATGACAATGAGTTTCATATTAATGGTTTCAATTTAATTAGGCGCCGGGACCGTCCAAACGGGAGAGGGGGTGGTCTTGTGGCTTTCATCAATTCTGACTTTATTTTCAGTCGTAGACTTGACCTTGAGAACAATTTTCTTGAAATTATGTGGATTGAATTAACTCCACCCAGTTGTAGGTCTATTGTCTACTTGGTTGCGTTTATAGACATCCAAGTACTGTTCATAACATTGAAAAAGCTTACCCAGAAGGCAGAGAAATGTATATTTTGGTGACTTTAATTATGTTCTAATTGTACTCACCACTTGTTTAATTGCTTAGCTGATTTAGGCTTTTCTCAAATTATTAACGGTGTTACGAGGCCTGCGTTCGGTAAATGTCTGGACCACGTGTATGTAAATCATAATGAAACTGATAATTTGGCTCTCATTCACAATTTGGGTATTTCGGACCATAATCCTTGGTTCGCAAACTCCGTTCCTTTCCTCAATGAAACAACCATGTTTCTATTCGTTATAGAAATTTCAAAGTGTTCGATGAGTCTATTTTTGGCCGACTTTCGGAACACGCCTCTAATTTCCGTACACAACATTACTGATACTAATTTAGCTTTTGAGACTTGGCATTCTATTTTTAATAATATTTGTGATTCGCATGCTCCATTTGTTTGTAGACGTGTGAAAACATTAAGACAGCCAGGATGGCTGAATACGGACATTCTACTTAAAATTAGAGAAAGAGACAAACTTCGGAGGCGTGCACGTACTTTGGTGTTACTGTCCTTAACCAATATAGAACCAAACGTAATTTGGTAGTTAATTTAATCAAGGCCGCTAAGAAAAACCATTATATTCAACTTATCAAAATCAATAGCTACAACAGTGCCGCCTTGTGGAAAACCCTTAACGATTTGATCAGTGGTGGTAAATCTAACTCTCAACGTTCATATTTCAGTTGGCAATAACCTCGAAAAAATCGTTAATAATTTCAATACACATTTCTCTTCTGTTGCCGAAAAGTTACGACCCAATGTTTCAGTGGGCAATTCATATTTTACGAAAATTCATTGAACCCAAATTGACCAATACTCAACAATTTGTTATTCCGCCGGCCACATGCCAATTCGTGAAGAACCAACTGTTCTCACTATCTAGTTCTAAGTCAGCTGGCCTTGACAATACATCTAAACTATTTCTGCTCTGTTCATTTATGAAAGTATTGTTTATTTATTCAACCTCAGCATTTTGTTAGATATTTTTCCAGACATGTTTTGACAGATTATATTCGAATTTTATGTATTCATAATACATCATGTCATAGATGTAGATGTCAACAGATATATTGGTTTGACGATCCTATTCAAAATGGCCGAATGGTGGTCATTTTTGCACTAAAAAATCATCAAATATCAAGCATTTCTGGATGGATTTCGTTCAAACTTGGTACATACATTAGACATTACGGGTTCTTGATGCACGTCATTTTATTTTTCAGATTGGATTCAAAATGGCCGACTGGCGGGCATTTTGTTTTAATGATTGGGCTTCTAGAGCCATATCTCTTAAATGCTTTGACTGATTATATTCAAATTTTATATATTCGTTATACATCAGGTTATATATATATATATATACACGTATTCAAAATGGCTGATTTTGAAAGCTGTTCCAGGGCAATATCTCTCAATATGGACAAGTACTTGTTTGACGATCAGATACAAATGTCAATCATTTTAATGTTAAAAAATCATATTCCTGACATGATTATATTCCAGCTATATTACCATAAACAAAACTATACATCTTAAATTAGATAACTAACAGGGACTGTGCCATGCATGGCTTGTTAAATCCTATTGTTGTTCTAATAGGCAACTATCGAACTGAACACGTTCTCTAATCTAACACCCAAATTTACTGTGCCTTGTTAAATTTAAATATTGGTAATGACATGGCCAATTTCAACAAATTACAGCAAGTTACTAAAGTGAACGTTCCACATGGTATCTCCAGTGACCCCTCCTCGCCACGCCACAATAAAAACCATCAATTCTGCATGATCTACAATGCATATAAATATTATGCTAATTATAATGACATTGCCAAGCAAATAGCTTGTCAAAAAAGCAGTCAAAATGTTAATCTTCCAGCTCTGTGTCTGGAACATGTTTACTGAACATGCTGCTGCTGCTGCTTTATAGATAGTTACTCAAAGGACGACGTTTGTCTCACCGCGTTCTGTTCGTTATGGACTCGACTGGCGATGTATTCTCGGGGGCGAACATCCGAGCATTTTCACCGCATGACAACCATCACGGTGAAAACAAAGGCCAAAATCTCTCAGAAAACGGTACTTTGGGATGGTTGTTGAGACTCCCTGAACAGTGCAACAAGATTACCCCTGTATGTGTAACGCATATAAATTTGATTGTTCAGGATTACTTCAAAGTTGAGTTCATCTTATTTTCTCGAATTTTCACCGGCTCTTCGCTAGCGTTCTGCGTTCCTCAATTAACAATTACGAGTATGAACAGGACGCATGTATGGAATTTAAAACCACACGAGTAACTGTTGGAATATTTAAAGAAAAATAGACCAAAAGTTGTATAGTATTGCAGGTATAGTAACTTGTTAGCGTGTTGAAGTATATTGCAGTATTTCTGTCTATGTACAATATTCATAGACTAGTAAAGTTCGGGCGATTTATTTCTTTTTGGCAAATTAGCTCATAAACTTACTCGGCAGATTGTGTTCGACTTTCCATAAAAACAGTACATGTATGCAAGTTTTCAACCCGAGCGAACTGCTGTTAGCAGTTAATTAGTATGCTAAGTATCTAATATGCATAGACATAATCACGTCCGATGTTTATCACAAAATATTTGTGTACCAAATTGTATCCAAATCCTACCAATGATTCTAGAGATATTGGTGAATCAATATTTGACACAAACACAGGAATGAGGGATTATCAGGTTTTCAGAATTGTAAACAAATTTTTACCATGTGTCTATTCATTCTGCAGACACTGCAGCATTAATGGGGGGGGGTATCAAGAAAACTACGCAATATTGTTAACTCAAAGAGTAATGCTTATTAATGCTACATAAATATATATACGTACGTTTTGAGAGAATATAATGTCTCCTCTGCAAAAAATCAGTACAAAAATATTGTTTTCATTCATTCTACACATACAACAGTTATGACATAAATAAAGCAAAATAAATTCATACTAGGGGAAACCAGCAGTATAACATAATTCAGAAAGTACAATTGTAATATAAACTTCCTGCAAAATTAGAAAATCCACATCATCTGTTATGGGCTTCTTGAAAAAATGTTTTAGTTTTTTTTCTTACCAGTCAAATAAACATCCACACATGTATGTTCTTCCACTACTGTGTACCATATATATGCACATTGTACATACAAGACCTATCACAGTAGTGAAAAAAAATCGTATATACATGATAAATATTACACAAGTCCTAGCCATATTCTCAGACTACTCTGCTTAATCTACAGGATAGAGGGGCTTTACGTTTATCGAGCCAATCATACTTAGACATTCACTATACATATCAGTGAGCAAATCAAGTTCTTTTTCTTGTTCTTCTATAAATTTGTCATTCTTTTGCTGCAAGGAAACAAAGATGAAATTCAATATCAATGACGACATTAACTTTTTCAATTTTCTGAACTTCTTTCTTATTTTCTTCAATATTTCGACAAATAAACCCAAATTTTTAGGCCAAGAGACACAATTTGAGTTAATTTTCAGTCTTTACACACAAAAAATTAGCTAGTCCCAATCTTCTGAAGGAAAGTGCAGACTATTAAACGGGACTATTTTGTGTTGAAATGTGGAAACTGGTGGTGAAAAAGTTAAATAGTTTGTGTTCTAACTTGCATCACAAGTGTAAATCAAACAAAATATATCACACACATAAAAAACAGTGTTAACAGTAAAATGAGGCTCTGATGCGTTCAGACTACTTAATTTTTAATTTATGCATTATTTTTTAGTATTGCAGTATTTTGTCTTTAGCATTATTAAATAATTATATACAGTGATATAAAGGTCCAAATAGTTAAGGATGACAAAAAATATTGACAATTTGTTGTCATTTTTGGAGCACTGAAAGTCTGCTACAATCTATTAGCATTAATGAATCAAAGAAATGTTAGACAGAACTCCTGTGTGCTGAGAGTATTGGAGACATAGTCAAATTAATTCAAAATTGCTTGTACTTGAGGTACTGATGGAAAAGATGAAAACTAATTATGCAAATCAGGAAATGAACATGAACCGATTTGAGTGTAAAACTAATAAGGTCAGTGCAATGTAACTTTAGATACCAGTGGAAAAAATTGAAAATAAACTAATTATGCAAAGTAGGTAATTAATATGCACAAACATTTATTCAAAACAGATCGATCTTGAGCAACTATTATCAAGTTTTAATGAAAGATAATGCTTACTACTTGAAATATCAAAAGTTGAAAATTAATTAATTACGCAAATTAGGTAATTAATATGTACTGTTATATCCTAACAACTATCAGGTCTTTTCAGTGTTCTATGACATCTAGGTACCAAGTTTCATTGAAATGTGATGATTAGTACTTGAGATACAAGTGGAAAAGGCGAAAATTATTATGCACCTTAGGCAATTAATATCCACATATTTTTACCCGAAACCAATCAAAACCTGGCATTAGTTCAGAGCATCCACGTACCAGGTTTTTATCAAACTAAAATTAGTGGTTGTTTAGATATCAGTGAAACTGCTGAAAACAGCTAATTATCATGCAAATTAGGTAATTAATATGCATGGATTTCTACTAAAACTAAAATCTGCGAAGTGACCCAGAGCATCTGTACACTAACTGCTATAAGTTCAATTGTGTGCTTAGCAGACTTTGGTTTTGAGAAATTTACAAGCGACAGTTAATGGTCACAATTCACAATTCCCAGTTCCCAAATTGATAGCGTTTGCGTTTTTATCGTATGTACGCAGTGCACGATACAACAATGTTTCCTTGAAATTAAACTGCTATCATCTTTCAACTAACTCGTGCCGGCCTCTGAAAATTTGCACACTATTTTGCCTAGACAAGAATAGCGGGCGTGTAAAATATCTTTGGCTATAGCATAATATTTTCATATTTTTGCGAGTATTTTGGAAGTTAAAAAACTATGTCACGGTCATATTTACTCGCCCGTTTTCTCTGAAAACTGTAAATCCATATTTTGTAGTTGTAAATATTTCTTATACATGTAGTTGCCCTCATTTGTACACACATTCTGCAATTTGTAAAACATAGTTGAACTCTGGTGACATTGCCCAATATTATATTATTCCCTTTATCATAGTTTGTTTCAATATGCATTGTCAAATTAATTTTGAACTAAAACAAGTTTTAGGATTGAAACAGTAGTGGGAAAGCAGTCTAACGAATGTCTTGATTGGTGCCTAGTTTGTTTAATTATTTGAAGGGACATAATTTCAAGCTTTATTCAAAGTAATTCAGATATTTTATTGTAAAAACCAACTTCAGAAAAAAAGTGCTGCATTTAGATGTGAATAGATTCATAAAATATGCAAGTAACAGAATTCTTAGCTGGCTTTTGCCCAAGTATTTTGTACAGGTGTCTTTCAAAAAATTTACCATTCACTGAGACAAATATGAACTGCCTTATTATATTCATTGTGCGACTACTGCATTATTTTGCTCTCTATGAATAACTATCATGTTGGAAGGTTTGCTTCGTATGCAAATCAATTCGAATAGTTTGTGTCAAGTGAAGAGAGAAGTACTGTTGCCTCCTAAGAATCAACATCTTCAAATACTGAAATATTTGTTTTTGAAGTGAGTTTTTAAAATTAGTATTATAAAAGCTCTACCATTCTGTTTTAATAGCTGAAACAAATTCCTGTGAATTTTGATTTTCATTTGTCAAATGAACTGTTTACAAAATACATATTTTTTTTTCAAAATGTGGATAAAACGTTTTGCTTTTTATGTAGACAGATTTTCTATTGACTTCAGATCTTGGTCAAAAGTTTGCCACCCAATCCACATGAGTGCTTATATTGATTATCTGACATCTTGTTTTCTGTAAAGATTTTATTGGTTGGTTTGCAAATGTGTATCACACTGCAACAACTCTCTCCATGAGTTGGTTTTAAAATCCAGTCTAGTATTCTCATGGGATTTGGAAGATACATAACCAAAGACATTATTACATTGAACACATACAACAATGTATATTCCCACCGAGATCAGCGATCTTTGAATGCGTATCACCAGTGATCAGTCAAGTAGAAACAGTCAAAATATTTTATCAGATTTTCCTAAATTTTTGAATCTGTCATTCATACTAAGGATAAACTTTATTTTGATGAATAGTTACTTAACCAAAAAAATGAATGAAAAGCCATGATTTATTACCCTGACTTTCTGTCGTTGCTGTCTAAGTTCTTCCTCTTCAGCTGGTGAGAACAGGGGTTCGAGAGTTACTGTAAAAAAAACAAAATAGTTTTTAGTATTTACTTTGTCAGGTGAACCAATGTCCCAGTTTATTTCTATAATTCCACAGTAGGTCTTGTTTCTATGTAAATTTGTTAGTAGCTACAGCTTTCATATGTATATTTGTGACAGCTGCAGTTTTTTCATACGAGGCCTCTTGACATTTACAAGATGTCAAGTATAAGAATGACTATGGTGAGTTATCAACAACAAAAATACTAATTTAATCTATATTAATACACAGTACACCAGCACCAGTTGTCATTTTGGGTTCTTGTGGGTCCTGGGCTTCATCTGTTTAGTATGTATGTGTATATGAGGAACCCCAATGCTGCGGTGCAACCCTATTCACAAAATGGTAAAATTGGAGAGAGTGAACACATTAGTACATGTAAAACAAAATAAATAAAATTCCGGCCAAATAAAATATCCTTAGGCGAAGATTACACACCATTTATAATAAAAAAAAATATTCTGATGCCGGCAGCTTGTGGTGAATTTTGAAAATCAAAATGGCTGTCATGCCTATATCAGAATATTTTTTATCATAAAAGGCCCAAAATAACAAGACATAACAAGTCCAAGGTACTGTCAATTGATCAATACTATATAATCCTGGCAAATATAAAAACTCACATTTGTCCATTTTCCTCAATGTGTGAATGAAAAACTACATATTCTGGTCTTTTTTGAGACGTGTGGTAGAATTATCCCCCATTACCAAAGATCAATTTCAAGAAAATCACGGGAAGTGAGAGGTGGTTCTTGTGCGGTTACACATTCCAAAATATTAGGAATATTGTTTCTGTGGCAAAATGCACTATGTCATAAACTATTACATGTAGTTCTTGCAATTTTTACATGTCAGGATAGACAAGAGTGATTTGTACAAATAATACAACACACGAATAAAATGGCCAATAGTATAAGCCATCACCTCATTTTTTCTTTCTTTCATTTCTTTTCTGTTCAATAAACACCTCATAGTCGATTAATATGCCCGGGATTAAAGAGAACAGACTCACCTGGATGAAGGTGAAATGATCTTATCTTCTCAGCTAATGAATTACTAAAAGTAAAACAAAACAAAAAACATGAAAAGTTGATTGATGAATCGTTTTATGCAGAGGGATATGAAGAATACATACAATCATCACTGCACAGTCATGA